TTCTTCTGTCACCCTCATTCATTGTCCACCTTTCAGATGCGCAGGAAGTAATTAAAAACACGATGGCTTGGGCCAGGCTAGTTTTTACACTGGTGTTGTTACTCTTTTGGAAAGGTAGGTCTTGGACAGCAGATTTTTGCAATGCAACATTTCTTTTGATTTCTTGACTGTTGCTACCACTGGTATTGATTGTGGATCCAAGTGAAATGAAATCATTGACAACTCCAGTCTTTTCTCCATCTATCATGGTGTTGCTTATTGGTCTAGTGGTGAGGATTTTTGTTTCCTTGATGTTGAGATGAAATCCACATTAAAGGCTGTAGTCTTTGATCTACACTGAGTCAGAATGAACATTTTCATATGATTCCTAGGTGATTCTTACATATCCCCAGATGAGTTTAAGGTTCCTAGGTGATTCTTACATATACCTAGATGAGTTTTATGCTTATACACATGCACATCTTGTTAAAATGCAGTTTCTGATTCCATATATCTGGGGCAGGAAAGCAAATTCTCAGCAGATAGCTGGACCAGGAAAACTTGGTTCAAAGTCCTGAGTTCAGCAGCATCCTTCTCCTGGATCCCAAGGGTCTTGCCACAGGTTGTTCTCCTTGTCCCCACTGCTCCCACCTGCTTCCAGCACATCTCCAATCCCCCTGCTCAGGACTCTGTGAGAACTGTCGGCTCTCAGCTGTACCTGGCATCAGAGCTCCTCTCTCCATGTGCCTCTCTAGGCCGTTTCTTTCCCTGCCTGGCCTTGCAGGTGAGTCCCACCTGCTGAACAAGTCCTTCTCTCTGACCAAGGGGCCCTCCTCTCTTATTCTCTGCCCTGCACATCTGGTCTCTGAATTGTGAGGGTGGGCTCCCACTTCCATGATTAATTGGTGAGCACCGCAATACACCGCAATACATACCACCTGGGACTGCTTAGTGCAGAGCAGGGATTCTACCATGCGAGCCCCACGCTTTAGCAAGTTTCTGTTGCCCCAGAAAGCCCAGCTGCCCTTGCCCTACACCCCCCACCCTCAGGCTGCCAGTGGGGGTGGTAGGAAAACGGTAACATTTTCTTGCAAGTTAGAACCAGAACCCAATTTTCCTGCAGAGGTAAACAATGCTCCCTGGGTAGGTGTACCTGAAAGAGTGCTTGCAGGGCTGAGCTAATACCTTATTGGCGACGTTGGCTTTTATGAGCTAGCCAGACAACCGGCCCTCTGCTCAGAATAGCATTTTTATAGGAAAAGACATTACCTGGAGTGTGAGCTCTAAACCACCAGCCTATAAACAACTTCTGGACCGCTGCCCGCTCTGCCCTTCCATTGAGCCCCTCCTGCCCCGCCCTGTCTGACCACCTTTGCACGTGGGTGTGTCTTATCTCCCAGCTCAGTGCCAGACCCCTGCCAGGAGTCAGGTCCCAAATAACCCATTTGCTGTGGGGCTCAGCCGGGTGATGTTCAGAGGGGGCATCTCCTACAGACTGCCCTGCCCAGCCCCACCTCTGTCTGTCTCACCTCACTTTGACTTGAGTGAATGAGTCTCTGTTTGTATATGGAAAATAGTATGGAGTGTTTCACAGGGAGAAAAGGAGAGAGCTGAAGAAAGAATAAAAGGGGAGTGGGGAAGGAAGAGAGTTGGGAAAGGAAAGAGATGAGAGAAATGACGGCATAAAAGAAGAAATTAAAAAAAAAAGAAGAAATACAGGGAGGGAAGAGGAATAAAGAAACATGGGAAAGGATGAGAGATGGATGGGGAAGAATGAAGAGAAATGGGAAAGAAGAGAGAGAAGAAAAAACATGTCCGACCAGGGTGCTCCTTAGAGGGAAGGTTGGTGAGTCTTCATCTCACCTCCCGTGGGGGGCCTGTTGTTAGGACCATGTTGACTTTGGGAACATTGTGCTTGGAGAGGTGGAGGGTCAGTAAAAGAGGGGAAGGCCCTCAAGATATGGACTGACGGTGACTGTACAATGGGCTCGAGTATGGCAGAGATGACAAGGATGGCTCGGGAGAGGGCACAGTTCAGAGCCACCATGCGCAGGCTCGCTGTGAGATGTAGTTGACCCAATGGCACCTGACCAGGTAGTGTAGTTTATACAGCATCAAGCTTTTCAAAAGTGTGGCTGTTTGAGTCCACCACCCATTCCATGAGAGAAGATCAGGCAGTCTCCTCTTATAACAATTTATAGCCATGGAAACCGGATGGAGTCTCACTATGTAGCAGAACCAACCAAAACCAGTGAGTTAGGGGTTTGTGGTTTGTTTTTTTTTTTTATTTTGTTTTAACCTGACCAGAAAAGTTCAGTGATTGAATCTCTTGCAGGAGACCTGGGATTGACTCCTGACCAAATTGTAACACTTCATGCACAGCTCTGGTGGCCTAGCATAAGGAGTTGCAATGGTTCGAATTCACAGAGAAAGACGAGCAATCTCCTCCCATGCAATTTACTGCCTCTGACTGAAAGCCCCTGGAGGGTCAGCTATGGGTCTATTCTGACTCAACAGTACATAAAGACAAAATGCATAACCACTGCCAATCTGTCAGGACAGGTGTGTATGTTGTCAGTGCCAAAACAGAAAGTTTCTATCTAGACTGAGGAGCCCTGATCCACAGAGAGAGACACCGCTAACATGCCTATCTGGCAATTCATATCCAGATGACAATCTCCTTCTTTGCAACTTATAGCCTCAGAAATCCACTGGAGGGTCAACTGTGAGTCAGTTCTTATTGGACAGCAATGAATCAATTGGTGTCTAGACTAAAGCAAAGTAGGAAGAAAGGCCTGGTGATATATTTTCAAAAATCATCTGGTGATGGTACTGGTACAATGACAGGCTTATAGACCAATGGAACAGATTTAAGATCCAAAAAAATGGACACAGCTAACTATGGTCAACAAACATCTGACAAGGAAATAAAACCTATCAAATGGGAAAATGATAACCTCTTCAACAAATGGTGCTGGCAGAACTTACACCATACATAAAAATCAACTCAAAGTGGATGGAGACTTAGAATTAAAGCCCAAAATCATAAAGTTCATCAGAGACAAACTGAGATCAAGTTTATACAGCCAGAAGTGCTCAGTCTGAAGAGGATAAAATAGATTAATGGGACCTTCTTTTTTCTAAAAAAAGGGGAAAAAAATAAAAAAAGATTTATACTTTATTTTCTTGTAAAAATCTTTATACATGCAGACAAATCAGTGTTAAGAAAGTATTCACCATCAGTTAAACAAATAACCACTTAAATAGAACAGTATCTGCAATTTTACCTGTATAAAAATAAGATACATTTTTACAGGATTTAAGCTCCAGTTCTTATAGCAATAAACAATACACAACTATAAGTACAACTGAATCTGACCATGTTTTCCAATTAGATACTGCTAGGAAATTTTTAATGTGCAAAAAAACCCCAGTTTTTTCCAAAGGAAATGTCCTCAGTGTTTCTAAAGACCCAGGAGGTTTAAAGAAATCAAATCCACATCATTTCCAGCTCTCGGCTCACTCTGCTCGCAGTCGCAGACACGCGTACACCCAGACATCTTCGGGCTACTATTGGATTGACTTTGAAGGTTCTCTGTGGGTCGCCGTGCCGCATGTTTGAATCAGGTGGAGAAGCACTTCAAGTCTGGACGAAGTAAAGACTGTTATTATTTTTTTGTTTTTTTCTTTCTCTTTCTTGTTGTTGTTATGTGCCGTCGAGTCGTTTCCGACTCATAGCGACCCTATGCACAACAGCCCTAAACCATGCTCTATCCTGCGCCAACCTCACCGCCTCTGACACACCCATCCCG